ATCCACGCGGAACACCTTCGCGCTATGTGATTGGCTGTTGTCTAATCCCCCTTAGATCTGTGGTGTTAAAAATAACTCGAGACGAATTACCTATGGAATAGGGTGTATATGGGGGATGCCCTCTCTGTCCCCTTTATAGTCTCTTGGTAAAATGTATTCTTTTTCAGCCTCGTTCCCAGGGCTTTTTCCCATTTTCTTGGGGGAAAATTAAAGTCGTGGGAACTAGGTGGATACCTTTGCCGAGCCAATCATTCTCTCTTGGCCGACCTTAATAAGACTAACCAGCAAAAAACTTCCATACAACGGTTAGCGAGAAATCTTAATAATTGTTATCACTCTGTCAGCGGTCCCTCTGTTCGGCGCCAATTTTTATGAGCGGCTCTTCAAGACAAACAACAAACAACAACAACAAAATGAGTCAAACTTGAGGCGGGAGGGAGGGAGTCTGTTATTACGTTTTGCGTTCGAGGTACGAGAACGCAACCCCTAATTTGTGTTGGGTGTTATGTGCCTTACTGGGTGTCCTGTGCAATTAATAAGGGAGGTTATTTTGAGATTGCATTTTCGTCGTCGTCGACACACTTTTGCCTCACTTTGAAGTGCTTGCTTACGTTTTGTCTCACTTTGACGCGCTAACTCACGAGGTGTTTCGTGTGTCCTCGGCGTTCATCTTTTAAAGGTTTGCTGAGGTCTGATCACAGTTCTGTCGTCGTATAAAGCGTTCATCTTTTAAAAAGTTTGCTGAATCTTCGTAAAGCGTACATCGATCTGTGTTTGCTGAATCTTCCAAAGAGTTCACCTTTCAGAAGTTTGCTGTTAAATTTTACTTTGGATTAAGCCTTCATATTTTTCAGCATGGTTCGCCACTGTCTTTGGAAAATGTGTGCGATTCGTGGTGCATGCATCAAACCGGGTTTAGTTCGGCTGCCTTTGTGTCACAACAAAAATCTTCTGAGTTGTGTAGCTCGGCAGCCGTTATCAGGCCACAGAGTAAATTTACCGAGTTGTGTAGCTCTGCGGCCTTTGTGTCACAAAGTTAATCTAACGAGTTGTGTAGCTCGGCAGCCGTTGTGCCACAAAGTAAATCTACCGAGATGTGAAGCTTGGCTGCGCCATTTGATCATGACTTGTGATATTTTCGGCACCAGACAAACGAACACTTCAACTCAATGTTATTTATTAGGAAAAACTTATAAACCAGCCCACGGTAGCGCCACTCTCGAGTCACTAGAATCAACACATTCGACCAAATTGCTGGAAAAGTTATTGACGTGAGCCAGACACACATTCCACTGAAGGCTTTGACAGGGTTAGTGCGAAATTTGAATTCAGATGTGAAAGCTTTTAAAAGAGTAAAATTCAGTTTAATTCTTTTTGTCAACAAGTTGATGATTGGATGCCCTTAATAATAACAGAGAAAATTATCCGAAGCAATGTTTTTGAAGAAAGAAAAAGAATCCCGGGTTAAGCGCTAATCGGCCTTTGAACAACTGCGCCCTGTAATTGCGCCAGTAAAACAAAAGTTAAAATGTTCTATTTACACGCCCGACGTACTCTGGCCACTGTCTCCTCCGATTACAAGCACTTGACACCAAAACATACGATATGTTTTCAAAATCTTCTTATGATGATACACAGTTTAAATAGAGGTTTCGTTGTACGCAACCCTTACGTTCAAAATATGCCATAATCATATTTATCTATCGCAAGAACCATCCAATCTTCCCCCTCAACTGTTACCCGCCTATACGCCTAACAAACATCGAATCATCGAAACACCGAACGCACTCTCGTCGTGTCCTTTATCTTTGTATAATCCATATTATACTACAGGCTACAAGCAGCCCCCACATAATCTGTGAATATACAGTGAAACCTGTATTAAGCGGACAAATTCAAATGAATAGTGGAAACGTTTAGAATATTCCCAGAGACTATGACGATATACGTTTGCATTAATTTCTTTATTAAAGTGGACCAATTGATCATAATACCAAAAACATATATTACAACTCAAATTTGAAGAAATCAGATGAGTGAAACAAGCTCTATAGAAACAAAACGAAATAGAAAAAAATACTGTACTGTGAAACTAATCATATAAGTTCGTCAAGTCACGTTTTTTAATGTAAAAATCGAAAACTTTGTGGGTGGCAATCTTTCGCATTTTCGGCGTCTGGCATGTTGGGTGGTGGAATTTAATTACAAGTGTCCGTTTAATACAGGGACCGCGGAGCAAGGTGAAAAGTGGGAGGGCTGACAATTGAAAATAATTTTTTCATATTGAAAATCGAAAAAAGGAACAAAATCATAGTATTTGATTTGTTTCTGTCGCGTGACTTTGCATACTTTATCCAGTATTTGTTACTCTTTATAGGTCGGCATTAGTGAAGATACCGAATTCAATTCAAGAAAAGACGCGATTACAATTTTAGCATAGAAAATACTACAAGAAAAATTTCTAACTATGGCCGTTTACTGTTCAAGTAATGTAATTCTTCTTGCCATCGAATATTTCATTGATTCCAAAGGAGAAAGACAAAAAATAAAACTTTTATCAACTCAAAAAACTACTCACCTTCGTTTGGCTTGAAAAAGCTAGTAATTTTCTTCATTTGGTCTGATAAAACTGATAAAAAACTCTGCTAGAGCTGGAAGTACAAAACACGCTGCCGAACGAAGCGAAGGGGTGGCCAAGGCATGGCGTTTGATCAAGGGGCAAGTCGGCCCCAGGGCACAATTACCGCGAAAAGCAAATGAGCCCCACAAAATGCCTGGCGTTTGAAATTAAAGAAAATACAGAGAATATAGCGAAATATAGACAGAAAAAAAACTTGTTTCAATTTTTTCTATTTTAATTATTTTTCTTTTTTGCGCAAAAAGTGGGGGCGGGGACGCAAAAAAGTGGTGGGGCCGCAGCCCTACCAGCCCCTCCCCTCCGCGGTCCCTGTAATACAGTGGTCAACAATAGAAATGACCATTTAAGGTACTTTTTAGGTGTCCGCGTCCGCTTAATAGAGGTGTCCGCTTAATAAAGATTTTATGTAAAGTAAATAAGGGAAATAAATTTGGGGACTTCGGCTACTGTCCGCTTAATAGAGGGTGTCCGCTTAATACGGTCTCCGCTTAATACAGGTTTCACTGTACTTCAGAACAGTCGGCTCCATAAAACAGTGTCTGTTTAAAGGCTCCTGTCGGACTCATTTCCGAGGTTCCTAGAATACCTTGGTCCGGCCGGACATCAAAGTTTGGTCAATAATAAAACTTGCTAAGGGTTGAAGGGCCTAACAAATCGGCCAGTGCTAGAGGCAGATTTTGAGGTAATGATATATCTGCTAAATAAATCCATGCGCTGATAATTTATGGAATCCGATCAACGATTCCGTAAGTTCATAAGCGGTTTGACAATTCCTTGGTCTCATGCTTGAAATTAAGTACTGATGATCAATGTTTGATTTAAAGTAACTGAATAAATGTCCGTTTCAGTCGCTGTTATTAAAGAATGAGTCCCTGTTGGTTACTGATTCTAACGAGTGACATGGCTTTGAAACAGAGACATAAGACTAGATGAAATGGCAAAGAACGACATACAGATGGGTCAAATAACAACAGGGAAAAGTCACAACCTGCTGGGCTTCAAAACACGAAACCACCGTGTTTGGAATTTAGCCTCTAGGGCATACATACCCCCGGGGGGGGACATACCCCCGTAAGAGGGTCTCAAGAATGGCTTATAAAGAATATCCCTACGGTGGCATACTCACCTGCCCTAAGCTCAAATACTTTGTGAAGCTGTCTTGAGTCTGAATAATAATTATCGTTTAATCATCAAAGCTTGCAATAATAAGCCTTCCTCTTTATTCTTTTTTAAAGTAGATTACACCGCTGAAAGTTCTAAATGGTGACTGAGGAAACCTCGCGAGCAAGTCGCTTTAATCAAGTACCAGTTGGAGCTTTAGCAGGTACGTGATAAGAGGTGATCAATTATAAACCTTGTTAACAATCAAATCCATCTTCGAAAATTCACGTCAGGCTTATAAACGCATTTCTATCTATCTCGCCGTGATTGATGCTGACAAATGCTTCACACATTTTCCTCTTTATAAATGACAAGTCAACCAGGTTCAAAGCCTGCACTGTATTAATTCGTTAAAAATCACCATGTGGTTTCTTTGGAACGCTTATTTTCTTATACTCTTCTTTGGATTTTGGTTAGAAGTGAATGGTATGTCTGTGAAAACGAAAGGGAAAGCCGAGATAAAGCATTTTGGCCATCTAAATGATCAAGGAAAACAGTCAACGCCTCTTGAGCAGTATGAGATAACCCAAAGGAAAATCGATCTAATCAAGCGCTCAATTGAAAGAAATCCTCTTGACATATGGTTTTTCAAAGACCGATTTCAATCTGAACAGGATCAACTGACGTTTTCACTCTTTTCGAACAGTAGTATCGTCTCGCGAGGTCAAACAACGAGAAGTCTAAAGAATGTCATCCGTCGATCACTACAAGGTGAAAATATAGATACTGTTATAATGGGAGGTTCAATCTCAGCAGGTGGAGGATTAAACTATGACAGAGAAGACCTCAGGGGAGTGTACTACCGCGTTTTTGCTGACTGGTGGCAAAAAGCTATCCAACCTTTTACGGGTTCTTCCATCAAACTTCATAACTTGGCTGTAGGCGGAACAGGAAGCAACTTTTTCGCTTTTTGCTACAGAACTTTACTAAATCCAGGCACTGATATAGACTTGGCGTTTCTTGACTTTACAGTCAACGATTATGTACAGTTTTCAGGTTCCAAATTTCCTATAGCCTTACCACTGGAACAGCTTATCCGAGAAGTTCTTAGCGAAAAGAAGTCTCTACCAATTTTTTTCATTGACTTTGTAAGAGGGGTTTCAAAAAGTCCTACCTGCAATAACTTAGAGAATCACGGTCAAACAGTTCTCGCTCAAAACTATGGAATAACCTCAATAACTCTCCGCAAATTTTTCTGCTCGAATCCATCAAATGGAAACAACTATCCAAGAATGTTTGCCTCTGACGGAAACCACCCTAGTATTCTGTCTCATGCTCAGGTCGCTTTATTGATCATAAATTATGTTCGAAAGACAATTCTAGAAGTAATTGACACTATAGCTATTTCAAAGCAAAAGAGCATAGTTTTTAACAATTTTTCCACCAGCCTGAGTGAGCTCCCAAAACCAGTGTTTAGGAAGAATCTGAGACAGTTTCTTGACAAACCACGCTGTTTTACGCAAATATTACCCGATGCTACGAAAAATTCGTCATTACATCAAACATTGCAGGTAAGAGAAATCGGGAACCTCGGATTTCGGGTTTTGCCGAAGACATTTATAAACCAACCTGGCCAGGTGAATCCAGTCATGACTCTTAACGACGGCTTCCAGAAATTTCGGACGGATGCTTATCGAGGATGGATGGCGAATTCTATGGATTCTCTTCTTGAACTGGAAATATTCCTCCCATTAGTTGCATTGTCCTCTATGGATAAACGATTTATGATTAAGGGGGAACCCACAAGAAGTGTTGCTATAGCCGTACGGACGCACAATAAGGGGGCAAACGCCAGGGTGTGGATAGACGAGTTCGAGGAAAATGGAGTTTTAATAAACACTAGCTCCATGTATGGACACACCAAACTCCATACCATTGTCCAGCACGTGACACAGGGTCGTCACGTTCTTAGCGTGAGGACGACGACAGCTGGGGTTTTTACTTTAGTGGGTGTTATGATTGGTCCAGTATACAAAGCTGGAAGTACAAAACACGCTGCCGAACGAAGCGAAGGGGTGGCCAAGGCATGGCGTTTGATCAAGGGGCAAGTCGGCCCCAGGGCACAATTACCGCGAAAAGCAAATGAGCCCCACAAAATGCCTGGCGTTTGAAATTAAAGAAAATACAGAGAATATAGCGAAATATAGACAGAAAAAAAACTTGTTTCAATTTTTTCTATTTTAATTATTTTTCTTTTTTGCGCAAAAAGTGGGGGCGGGGACGCAAAAAAGTGGTGGGGCCGCAGCCCTACCAGCCCCTCCCCTCCGCGGTCCCTGTAATACAGTGGTCAACAATAGAAATGACCATTTAAGGTACTTTTTAGGTGTCCGCGTCCGCTTAATAGAGGTGTCCGCTTAATAAAGATTTTATGTAAAGTAAATAAGGGAAATAAATTTGGGGACTTCGGCTACTGTCCGCTTAATAGAGGGTGTCCGCTTAATACGGTCTCCGCTTAATACAGGTTTCACTGTACTTCAGAACAGTCGGCTCCATAAAACAGTGTCTGTTTAAAGGCTCCTGTCGGACTCATTTCCGAGGTTCCTAGAATACCTTGGTCCGGCCGGACATCAAAGTTTGGTCAATAATAAAACTTGCTAAGGGTTGAAGGGCCTAACAAATCGGCCAGTGCTAGAGGCAGATTTTGAGGTAATGATATATCTGCTAAATAAATCCATGCGCTGATAATTTATGGAATCCGATCAACGATTCCGTAAGTTCATAAGCGGTTTGACAATTCCTTGGTCTCATGCTTGAAATTAAGTACTGATGATCAATGTTTGATTTAAAGTAACTGAATAAATGTCCGTTTCAGTCGCTGTTATTAAAGAATGAGTCCCTGTTGGTTACTGATTCTAACGAGTGACATGGCTTTGAAACAGAGACATAAGACTAGATGAAATGGCAAAGAACGACATACAGATGGGTCAAATAACAACAGGGAAAAGTCACAACCTGCTGGGCTTCAAAACACGAAACCACCGTGTTTGGAATTTAGCCTCTAGGGCATACATACCCCCGGGGGGGGACATACCCCCGTAAGAGGGTCTCAAGAATGGCTTATAAAGAATATCCCTACGGTGGCATACTCACCTGCCCTAAGCTCAAATACTTTGTGAAGCTGTCTTGAGTCTGAATAATAATTATCGTTTAATCATCAAAGCTTGCAATAATAAGCCTTCCTCTTTATTCTTTTTTAAAGTAGATTACACCGCTGAAAGTTCTAAATGGTGACTGAGGAAACCTCGCGAGCAAGTCGCTTTAATCAAGTACCAGTTGGAGCTTTAGCAGGTACGTGATAAG